AAAAAAAAAAAAACCATATATATATATAAATTTCTTTGCCTTGCTATTGATTTTATGTAATTGCCTTCTCCAAGTTTTATTCCTAAAGGCTTATGATACCTTCATCTTCCAGTAACCAAACATATGCCTATATAGTTATTAAATTAAAATATCTTAATAAATTTAACTGTTGTATAATGGAGGAGAATAACTGTTAAGAAATTCATATAAATACATTCCACATTACATGGGAGTAATTTGTAGACCACTTTTATTATTGTATTCCATTTCTGTAGGTAATCAAGAGTTGATTACATATCAGAAGATAGTGATATGTAAGTCTATGACTTTTTAACTTTTTTTGTTGAAATTTTAAGAGGTTTTTGTGTGTGTGTGTTTTGGGAGGTTTTTCTTTTTTCAGACAGGGTCTTGCATTAAAATGTAGTTTCAGCTGGCCTTGAACTCCCTCAGGCTGGCCTTGAACTTGTGGCAGTTCTATCTCCTGAGTGCCGGGATCACTGCTGGCATCCGCCACCATACCCAGTTGAAATTCTAGGTTAATTGAAATAAATTTATTTAATAAGTCAGTGATTTTGGATTCTAAGTAAAATATAGTTATAAAAGGTAAGTCTACAAACCATAAATAAAATATTGCTGATATTTATATACATTTTGCCAATGGAATTCATGTTTTTTTCTAGGTGTAGTTACTATCCATAAATTAAGGAGGTACCAATGCGATTAACATATAAAACCGAGCCACTTAAAATATAGTTAACAGAGGATTTCTATCTGCAGTTACATTATGCTGAACGCTGAGTCTTTTGTGGTCCTAAAGTTTAGATCAAATCTATAAAATACCTCAGAAACAGAAATAATTTGCTGTTCATAACTTCAAAGCAAAATGTGTTTAACCTTGCATTAAACCTACATTATTTGGAAAAAAATAAAAATAAAATAAAATATAGTTAACAAATACAAAATACAGCACCTGCATGGCAAGCACAAGGTCCTGAGTATGATTTCCAGTACCAAAAAATTCTTTTTGAATCATCTGAAATTAAACAACACAATAAATTGTTTTGAACTAAATTCAGCAACATGTTTTTAATTGTGCTAGTCATAATCATTTAACTTAAAGCCAGTGTTTACATTCTTTCGCTGACAACATTTGGCATAATTTAGGCCTATAGTAGGAAGCACTGCCTGTAGCCGAAGAAATAACAAGTTGCATTGCTTTATTACAGCATCAGAAATTAGAAATGAGGTAACTGTACTGCTAGGTAGATCTCATATCTGCTTCAGCGTAAACAGGTACCTACTAACAACAATCCTAAACTGTTCCTTTACAGAAGGGAGAAATCTTTTGACCCTAGTGCTCAGTTTACATATATTAGAGTGTACATGTAGGCTTTTTTTTTTCTTTTTTTTTTTTTTTTGGGGGGGGGGCACAATGTGTATTTCATGCAAATAAGTTTTTGTGCATATTCTGGGGCATGATTGTTTCTTTGTTTTGACAGTACTTGGAATTGAACCCAAGGCCTCATGTAGGCAACCTCAGTGAGCTGCTCACACCTTTTTGTTGTTGATTTAAGAAAGAAACAAACAAATGGACATACTAACTAACTCAGCAACTTGCCCAGGCTGGCCTCAGACTTGTAGTCCTTGTACCTCAGTCTCACAAGTAGCTGGTATTATAGAGGTGTATGCCATTACACCAGTAATTTAAAACATTTGTAACAGAAAGAATATTTTGACCAGTTTTCAAAAAAGAAGCAGTGTTCTTTTAATTCATAAGAATTACTGCTTGTTCAGTAGAACATAATAAAATATTAAAATGCATATATGTACTTAGGCTTGGCTTAAGTAGTAAAGCACTTGCCTAGCATTCATGAGGCCCTGGGTTGGATCTGCAGTACTAAAAAACAAAGAAAAGAATCCTAAATACAAAAGCACAGAAGGTGGGTATAAAGTTACTCATCACGGATGTGCACACTGATCCTCAGCCCAGTGTCTGCCTCATCCATATGCCAAAAACTATACCTTCCAGGTCACTCATCATTAATAAATTACTAAATCAGTAGCAGCATGCTTGAGGTCCTGAGTTCAATCTCAGCACCAAGAAAAAATGACAGACCAACTGTCCTTACATATTTACTTTATATAAAATCTGTATTAAACTTTTCAGAGAAAAGAATTTTTATCCCTAATTTTTTTCAGTATGCATGAGTTTAAATGGTATTTAAAATTTGTTGGGCCGGAGAGATGGCTCAGTAGAATAAGTGCAAGCTCCTGAATTCAGTCCCCAGTTCTGCAAAAAAAAAAACCAAAAAACAAATTTGTCAAGTGAAGTTTAGTCACTTTTATATTTCAGAAGCATTTTCTGAGCTTATTTTACCCTACAGCATGTATATATGTGGTAACATATTCCAGAGGACTTTTTGGTAAAAAAAAAAAAAAAAAGGTGAATGAAAGAATTTGTTTATTACACCTGACTGTTGGTTTTTTGTATTTTTTAGTGCTGAGGATTGAACCCAGGGGCTTTGCACTGAGTTACATCCCCAGCCCTTTGTTTTGTTTTGTTCTGTGGACAGGATCTCACTGATTCACTAAATTGCCCAAGCTGGGCTTGAATTTGCAATCCTCCTATCTCAGCCTCCTAGAGTGTTGGGATTATGGGCATGTAGTGTCATGACCAACCCTCACTTGTTTAAGAGAAACTTTGTAAATAAGAAATTGCTTGACTTTAAGGAAAAATAGTTGAGTCAGTAGGATAAAAAGACAGGATCCCAGGCTGCTGTTGGCCCAAAGCAATCTGAGTGATAAAATATTTGCATTTTGGTGGCTTGTCTAAATAAGGTCAGCATTCTCCACAGCAGTTCTGTCCATAGAAGTGTAAGTGAACCACAAATGTCATTTACAATTTTCCTAGTAACCACATTAATATAAAATGAAACAGGTAAAATTGTTTAATCTGTGCAAAGTATTTTGGCAACACTTGATATTTTTTACAAGTTAGATTCTGAAATGGGGATATGTGCAGCTCGGTAGAATAGTGCTTAACTTGCATGTGACAGTTTCCTGAGTTCAATCCACAGTACTATACTTAAAAAAAAAAAAAAAAGAAGGCGGGGCACTCACCTATAATCCCAGCACTGGAGAGGCTGAGCAGGAGGATTGCTACAAGTTCAAGGCCAACTTGGACTACATGAGTTCAAAGCTAGTGTGAACTACATAGGGAGACCCTGTCTCAGTCAATTGATCAATCAGTTAAATTTTAGAGGTATTTTACCTTTTCTGTACTGAGTTTCTAGTGTGCATTATACTTAAAGCATGTCTTCTGACAAGCTACATTTCAGTTTCTGTTGTGGCTAATAGTGACTATGGGACAGTGTGTTTTCAGAATAGTGAGGGGATATACGCCCATGACACTAAGAAATGTAAGTTCCTTTGTGTTCAGTGGACAGTATTAAATTGTAGCCTTAGAATGCTGGCCAAGTAAAACACCACCCTGGGTCATATATACTTTTAGGACATTAGTGTGATTTGTACCTCATTTATTAAAACTTGTCATTCCGCATGTTAAGAAAAATGATAATGGGTAGCTTATTCTTTAAAACATCCATTTTAATTGGGACTGTTATAATCTGATTTGCATTTTCTTTTATATTTTAAGGATATGGAATATTATCTTGTAAAATGGAAAGGATGGCCAGATTCTACAAATACTTGGGAACCTTTGCAAAATCTCAAGTGTCCGTTACTGCTTCAGCAATTCTTGAATGACAAGAATAATTACTTATCTCAGGTAAAGAAAGGCAAAGCAATAATTCCAAAAGACAATAACAAAACTTTGAAACCTGCTATTGCTCAATACATTGTAAAGAAAGCTAAACAAAGGATAGCACTACAAAAGTGGCAAGATGAACTTAACAGAAAAAAGAATCATAAAGGAATGATATTTGTTGAAAATACTGTTGATTTAGAGGGCCCACCTACAGACTTTTACTACATTAATGAATACAAACCAGCACCTGGAATCAGCTTAGTCAATGAAGTGACCTTTGGTTGTTCCTGCACAGATTGCTTCTTCGAGAAATGTTGTCCTACTGAAGCTGGAGTTGTATTGGCTTACAATAAGAACCAACAAATTAAAATCCCCCCCGGTACTCCCATCTATGAATGCAATTCAAGATGTCAGTGTGGACCTGATTGTCCCAATAGGATTGTACAGAAAGGCACACAGTATTCACTTTGCATCTTTCGAACTAGCAATGGCTGTGGCTGGGGTGTAAAGACCCTTGTGAAGATTAAAAGAATGAGTTTTGTCATGGAATATGTTGGAGAGGTATGTTCAGTTTATCACATAGCAAACAATATGCATGTGAGAGTTTTTTGTGGGGTTTTGTTGTTTTTCATTTCTAGAGACGGTCTTTTTATGTCGTTCAGAACTCACTGCATAGCCCAGGCTGGTCTCAAACTCACAGCGATCTTCTGCTTCAGCCTCCCAAGTGCTGGGATTACAGGCATGTACTACACTACATCTGGCACTTACAAAGTTTATAGTTTTGAAAAGTTAACCTTTTAATCTCAATAACAAATATTTGATACATTTTTATATTATCACTCTCAGATTATAGAAATTTAGTTTTAAGTATAGATTTCACTGGTATAGTTAAGAAATGTAAATGTTATATGAACAAAAAAGTACTTTTTTTTTTTTTTTTTTGGTGGAGCCGTGGATTGAACTCAGGCCCTTGCACTTTCCAGGGAAGCACTTATTCCACTGAGCCATCTCCCCGGCCCCCAAAAGTACATATATTAACAAATTGATAGTCACCTTTCAACATATACCCATTAGCAGTTATTGGTTATTGAACATAGCATGTACGATTTCAAAATAAAGCTTTTTTTTTTTTTTTTTTTTTTTGAGATAGGGTCTTGCTGTGTAGTCCAGGCTGGCCATGAATTCATTATGTAGCTCAGGCTGGCCTCAATTGATGGCAGTTTTCCTTTCAGCCTCCAAAATACTGGGATCCCAGGCATGCAGCACCACACCTGGCTTTTGTTTTGTGTTTGTCTGTTTTTGTCATTTTTATAAAGAAGGCCTAAGAAGAAAATTAGATCAAAATATGCAGATTTCAAAACTTGGAGGTTGTGTCTTACTTGAGTTGTACAAGTACAGTTAAGTTCAACAAAAGTTTATTTTCTGGCCACATGTAAAATATAGATGGATGTTTTATGTGTTCTAGAATATACACAGAAGCATTTGTTGCAGTCATAAGAAAATCAAACTCTTGGCTGGGAGTGGTGGCGCACACTTGTAATCCTAGTACTCCAGAGGCTGAGGCAGGAGGATTGTTGTGAGTTCGAGAATAGCTTGGGTAACACAGTGAGCTCAAGGCCAGCCTCAAGTGCTTAATGAGTCCCTATCTCAAAAAAAAAAAAAAAATCCCTCCAATTTAGCCACTTTGAATTATAGACCATTCTCTAAATTACCAAATACTGGGCCAGCCAGATAGCAGATTAAAGCTCCTGCTTAGGCAGAGCACTGAGGCTGGGGTGTGATCCCTGGTGTGCCATTTCGGCTTCCCCCCAGGGTATGCTGAGATGCCGATTGAGACTGGGCATGGTGGCACATGCCTGTAATCCGAGCACTTAGGAGGCTGAAAGTCCAGGAGGATCACTGAGTCCAGTAAATGTAGTGAGACCCTGTAGACCCTATACTAAAAAATAAATAAATAAATAAATAAATAACCAACCAAATACTGAGAAACCAATTATTTTGTATGTGTCCACATATAAACATAAAAGTACCATGTGCCAGATGCTATTCTAAGCACTTTGTTGTGTTAACTCACTAATCCTCTCAGTAACTCTGAAATGGTATTATCTTGATTATTGTAGACAAAGAAACAGGTACAGAAAAATTGAGCAACTTACTCAGAGTCACACAGATACATAGCAGTAGAAAGAAGAGGAAGGACTTAAAACTCCAAAATAAGCACTCTCTCCTCTGCACCAGACTCCCTCCAACTACACTGAGCCTGGAGAGATAGGAGTGTGACTGTATGCCCACTATGGTCAAATCTGACTGGTTTAAGTTATTAGAAGTTGCTTTACAGTACTTATATGCTGACATTAAGTGCTATCTGTTTTGATCCTTATATTTTTAGACAGTGGCAGGTTATTGCCATTTAGGAACTAGATTTTAGCAGTGTGAGGGCGCATACATGATCCCAGTGCTCTGAGGACTGAGGGAAGGAGGATCAAGAATTTGTGACTGACTTGAACAATATAGTGAGACAGCATCTCAAAAATAAAAAAACTAGACCTTATTCAATCACATTTCCTCTGTGGCTTACTGAAGTGGTGATAGAATGGATCACTTTAGACATTGTTAGTTTCTTGAGCTGATCTTTTGATAAAGCTGTGTTAAGAGAAGAACTGTGAATATGTTTATATCTTGTCTACTCCGTACACTTCTCCAAGCCACAGATGTTGGGTAGCAAACCCAGACCTTGTGCATGTCTGATGGGCGCTTTGCCACTACATTACATCCCAGCCCCTGGGTAATGGTTTGGTTTGGTGTGGTGGTTCATTTAGTTTGGCTGTTTTGAACTTCAGAATTTTATAAATACCTGTTCTTCAAAACAATTTCCATAGAATTGACAGCAAATTTAACATGACTTTTTTTTCCTGTTTTATAAATTGTAGTCCTTTGTATTCATTATGTCTAGACTTACAGCTGTATAGCTTTTTTTTTTTTTTTTGAGGAACTAGGGATTGAACTCAGGTCTTTGCACTTGCCAGGCAAGCACTTAGTCTACTGAGCTATTTCCCTGGCCCCTAGCTCCTAGCTTTTTTTTTTTTTTTTTAAAGACAAGGTCTTGCCTTGTAATACAGGTTGGCTGTGGACTTGGCTATCCTCCTGCCTCAGCCTCCTGAATGCTGGGATTATAGGCCTACACCACCACACCTGACATGTACAGCTTTTGGAATGGCCTACTTATGAAGGAATAGTTCATTGTTTCAATTTGTTGTGTCAAATTTTATATAAAAAATCATTCTTTGTTTCCATCATTTTTCTTCCCTTCATTTTTCCACCGTTCTCCCTCTAGCTTCTGTGTTCTGGTTTTGATAACACTTAAATTTTGTTTTAAAAGACATAAGAATTAATATATTATTTAATACTGGGTGTGATTAAAAACATTGACAGTTTTAAGTAAAAGAACTTACTACAATAAAGGACACATTGCCATTAATCCCCTTCAAAAACTTGCCCCTTGTTTCAAACTGAAACCATCCTTACAAGCACTTTCCAAAGCAATTCTGGAGTCCTGTGAGCCTCCTTAGTTACACCTTTGTGGCTGCCTCATGTCCTGAATTAGTTCAAAATGTTTGCCTTTTGTAGTCATTTTGATTATCGAGGAAGAGCCAGAAATATAGACAGTGCCAAATCCCACGAGTAAGGTAGATGAGATTTTTATGAGGCCACCTTTCCACTGGATGGTACTGAGCAACAGCATCCACTCTGCTGTTCTTGATCATACCTCACTAAACTCAGAAGCCCTGCATGGTGACACACACCGGTGACCCCAGCACTCAGGCTAGGGAAGAGGATTGCCATGGGTTGAAGGCCAGTCTAGGCTACATATAGTGAGTTCAGGGCTAGTCTGGACTACACAGGACACCCTGTCTCAAAAAACAAAACAAAACAAAATGAAGAGGACTTCCAGAACTACTTCCAAAAGAGGCAAAAGTGATGGGTAAGCATGTTTCGGTGGGGTGAGGGCTATATTTTATTTATTTATTTATTATTTATTTATTTATTTATTCCAAAAGAGGCAAAAGTGATGGGTAAGCATGTTTCGGTGGGGTGAGGGCTATATTTTATTTATTTATTTATTATTTATTTATTTATTTATTTATTTATTTATTTTGCGGAACTGGGGGATTGAACTCAGGCCCTTGCGCTTGCCAGGGAAGCAGTTATTCCACTGAGCCATCTCCCTGGCCCTAGGGCTATATTTTAAAGGAATTAATGGCACTATGTCTTTTATTGCAATTTATAAATTTCAACGTTCAATTTATATTTGATCACATTTTGTATATTGTCTTTTTTTTTTTTTTTTTTTTTTTTTTTTTGGTGGAACCGGGAATTGAACTCAGGCCCTTACACTTACCAGGCAAGCGCTTATTCCACTGAGCCATCTCCCCAGCCCCTACATTTTGTATATTTATGGATGAATGTTTCTTCAGTTCTGCAATAGCTGTATAATAGTTTTATTTCTCTTTAGGTAATCACAAGTGAAGAAGCTGAAAAACGGGGACAGTTATATGACAACAAAGGAATCACATATCTCTTTGACCTGGACTATGAATCTGATGAATTCACAGTGGATGCAGCTCAATATGGAAATGTGTCTCACTTTGTGAATCATAGTGTAAGAAGAAATACTTAAGTTGTAGATAAGACAATTCATCTTAGTAGTTTTTAATGATTTTTCATACCGAAGAGTAATTATCTTTGAACTGTAGACCCTTTGCAAGTATTTCAGTTTGTGGGCCTTTTGTTAAGTCATTATATTATTGCTTCATTAGGAAGACCAACAGCCATGCTTACTAAATGTCGTGAGTGTTTTGCAAGAGTCCATACATATGTTACTTCAATTAAATTTGGCATGAGGGCCGGGGAGATAGCTCAGTGGAATAAGCACTTGCTGGCAAATGCAAGGGCCTGAGTTCAATCCCCGGTTCCGCCAAAAAAATAAAATAAATTTGCAGTAACAGGACTGGCCAGATATCTTAGTAGATTAAAGTGCCTGCTTAGGCAGATGCAGAGACCAGGGGTCAATCCCTGGTGTGCTGTGTCGGCTCCACCCCCAGGGCACGCTGAGACAGCTACTGAGACTGGGTGTGATGGCACATGCCTATAATCCCAGTGCTTGGGAGGCTGAAAACAGGAGGGTCACTATGAGTCCAGTCTACATAGTGAGACCCTGTAGACCCTGTATTAAAATTTAAGAAAAAAAAAAATGGCAGTACCTTTTCAAAATAGGTAAAATACCTTAGTATCCCAGGAGAAAATAAACAGAAGATTCAGAAAGTAGAATGTTGAAGAATCATCTGCAACTCTGTCTTACAAAAGTTAATATAATTGAATTTCAATGTACAGTAGTTTCCCCTTTCCACATAGTTTCTTTACTGTTAACTATCGACCAAAAATACTCAGTGGAAAGTTCCAGGAAAAGAATATGTTAAGTTTTAAATGGCAAGAAATTCTCATTAACATGATAAAATCTCATTGTCCTACTCCACCCTGATCATGAAATGAATTGTTTTGCCCAGCATCATGTTGTATATGCTACTTGCACACTTGTCATTAAGTAGCAGTTCCATTTAGCACATGAGTTGTTGCAGTCACAGCACTTGTATTCAGGTAACCCATATTTTACTTAATCACCCCAAAGCACAGAAATCATGCCATTTAGATATGGCAAAGAGAACAGATAAAATGCTTCCTTTAAGTGAAAAGTTAAAAGTGTATTTTGAAAGAGAAAATTTCTGACTTTTATTACGATTACATTATCATTGTGCAATTGTTGTAATTGTTCTATTAATTTTTAATTATTAATCTTGTGCCTGATTTGTAAACCAAATTTATCATAAGTGTATATGTGTAGAACAAAACCTAATATACGTCAGGTTTAGAACAATAGCCTTAACTCCAGAATCTTTTTTCTTTTCTTTTTGTAGGCTCAGGCTGCCTTAATAGCAGGTGTGGTGGGGCATGTGGAGCGGGGGATCAAACTACTGTCTTGCCAGCCTGACTGAGTTTGCCGAGGCAGGCACTTAAACAACTGAGCTAACTGGCAAGCCCCCCAACTCTAGAATCTTATACTCTCTGGAAGCTATTTCCAAAAATAAGGGGCTTGAGGTGTATAGCTCAGTAGTAGAGTGCTTGCCTGGCACGCGTGAGGGGTATTGGTTCAGTTCTTGGCATTGCAAAAACAAGAAGTTAATGATTATTGGGTACCTAATAAGTGCCAGGTGGATTAGGCTAGTGCAGTTAACAGTCATATTGCCATCTTACAAATGTTACAGTCAGGAAAATGTTCCTTAGACATAAGTTCTATCACTGACTATAAGGCTTAAACTTGTAATGGGTTGCATACTAAAAATCTATGATTAGCAATGAAATATGAAAGAAATTATGACTCCCTTGTTACTTTCATGATTTTCTTAAATTTTTGCTTGAAAAACTTATTAATCATGAATTTGTGATAGTCATCCCTCAGCAATATCCCAGGAAATTGGTTCAGATCTTCCTATAGGTACTCAAAATCCTTGGATCCACAAGTCTCTTTATACAATGGCATAGTGCCAGGTGTGGTGACATACATGTGTAATCCCAGCACTCAGGAGGCTAAGGCACCAACCTGGACTATATAGTGACTTCAAAGCCAGCCTGAACTACACAGCGAAACCCTGTCTCAAAAATCCAAAATTAGAAAGTAAGATGGCATTGTGTTTATATGTAATCTACATATTCTGTCTTTACATCTTCTCTTGCAATGGAAGTAGTGGTTACATTGTTCAGGAAACAACAAAAGAGAGTTCTTTATATGCTTAGTACAGAAGCACTTTCTCCCCCCAAATATTTTCAGTGTGAGATTGGTTGATTCTGCAGTTGCCTACATCCACGGACGTGTAACCTGTAGATACAGAGGCATAACTGTACTCCTAAAATACACAGATTGCTTCAGGAACACAGATTGATTATTTATTTATTTATTTTTGGTCTTTTTGAGACAGGGCCTCACTGTGCAGTTCAGGCTAGCTTTGAACTCACTTTGCAGTCAAATGCTCTGCCAGAGCTATACCCCCGCGCTGAACTCACTTTGTAGTCTACACTGATCTTTCTGCCTCAGCCTCCCAAGTGCTGGGATCGCAGGAATGCACCACCATGTCCAGACAGATTTTTATTTCTTAGTATGATTATTAGGTCTTTCTTCTTGCCTATTCTCTGAGTTCTCAAAATGCTCAATTCTGACAAGCTTAAGCAAGAAAACTATACACAGTATAAAATTTGAGTTTCATTGTATTGATTTGTTTTTTAATATTCTAGTTGTTTATGCCTGCCTGAAATAGTAGGTTTTGATAGTTACATGATAGTTATAGGGTTTGTATTAAAATCCTCCAGGAAAAAAAGTTGAATGAGATGAACAAAACTGATTGGTTGAAGTTACAGAGTAGAAACTTGCAGATTTATGGTATTGTTTTCTCTACTTTTATATCTGTAACGTTTTTAAAAGAGTATGTCACAATGTACAACTTAATTTCCTCTAAAATTTAAAAGAATACTCTGGAAAATTAAAGATTTTTTATATGGCATGTAAAAGAGCTCATTCATGTCACTTATGTGGGCTCTAATGTTTCTTTTTAGTGTGACCCAAATCTTCAGGTGTTCAATGTTTTCATCGATAACCTCGATACTCGTCTTCCCCGAATAGCATTATTTTCCACAAGAACCATATATGCTGGAGAAGAACTAACTTTTGATTACCAAATGAAAGGTATAGTTTTCCAATATAATTTCATTGGTGTTCATTTCCATATGAAGAATCACATTGTAGTAGGAAAAGATTATGACCATCTGCACCAAACTGGTAAGAACTGAAGCTGTAAGGGTTTGCGATCTTCCTTAATGTCTCAAGCTCATTTTATAGCTAATGCTGAAGTCTGCATCTGCCTGACTTGTTCCAGGAATGGTCTTCCAAGTCATCTTGCCTCCTTTTTCAGGACTTCCATTTTGGAAGCTGATTTATCCTAACAACTTTTCTCAGTATTACGCTAATTGTATTAAAGAAAATGGTGGTAGAATGTGCAACCTAGCACGTGTGAGACCCTAGGTCCTATCCCTAACACCACAAACACACGCAAATATTTTATTGAGATATATATTCACAAAATTGAAAATGATTTAAATCACATGCAAACTTATTCCACTCCTTGAATCTGACTTTTAAAAAGAACATTTAATTGTTTATTATTGTGACAATATGAATGTTTTGCTTTTCTGAGAATGTCAGGTTCTTTCCATATTGATTGCTTTGCCTCACTTTTTATGTGTGCTGTATGTGAAAAGAATGATTCTCTATTGGATTTTCCCAGTAAGCATTATGTCATTGCTTTCAGAATCCATTCTCATAAATATGGACTGGTAATGTATGTAGCATGTCTTAGCACACACTGTCCTTCAAGACAGACTGCAATGAATTGTTTCTCAGTATTCATATTCGTGTGTACAAAGGGAAAGCCTAACATTTCTTTGAGAGTTAACATACCTCAAATAATCTAAAGCAAGCATCCTTGCTAGCTACTTTTAAAATACCAGGAAATTTAAAATTTATTCTAAGTTTTCTTACCTCTCTCCTATTTCTTGCTCTTCTCTTCAGGTTCTGGAGATACATCTTCAGACTCTGTTGACCACAGCCCTGCCAGGAAAAGGGTCAGAACTGTGTGCAGATGTGGGGCAGTGACGTGTAGAGGTTACCTCAACTGACTGTTAGAGGAATACAGCTGGTGATAATGGTAGTTTGGTTTTCCCTAATGTTAATACTTGTAAAAGCAATGGACTGTTCCATATATATTACTGTTGCAATTCTGAAAACACAGGGTCACATAGGCTAATTTGAAATGGACTGACTTGGTTAGATCCCAGGCAGGCGCACACTTAAGTCTGAGCACAGACGTGTGCCCCTTTCTGTGTTTGGAACGTGTTAAACCGAAAAGGTAACAATTGCTGAGATGAGATGTTCATCTTGCCATATACTTTGACTTCAAAGACAGTTAATTTGTTTGGAAAAATAAAAGTTCTGGTTTTTATTTCTGTATTGTCATTCCTATTAAGTACTCAGTTTTCACTTTTGAGACAAATAGGTGATGCTGAATTTATACTCCATTTTGTTCTACTTTTTCATTAAAACATCTTGATAAAGAAATTGAAAGTTTAAAATATTTCAGCTTGATTTATATTTTGAAAGAATCTAAACCATTATGAAAATTGTGTGTCTAAATCTGTAATTCCAGATTTTTTTATTCTACAGAAGAAAAATTTCAACAAGGCTCTGAGAAGTCTAGAAGGGCTGGCCATTATGCTTTAAAAGGACAGGACAGCAGAGCTGGGAGGGCTCTGGAGTGACTGCTGAGGAAGCAAAGCACTCTGAGGGTGCACAGTGCCTGGATTAGGAGACCTGTGTTGAGCACCTCGATCAAAACTGACCCCAGCTCTGCCCAGAGAGCAGCTATACCAAGTAATGTCTTGCTCACTAATATACATCCTCTCATTGCAAGATCTCATTGCAAGACGTTTCAAGGTTTTCTTCCCACCAAACTATTTTTATATTTCCTGCAGGTTCTTCTAAAAAAGTAGTCTATATTTGAGCTAATAACTTGTTTTATACATGAATTTCTACATGTGATAAAGCTAATGTTGGCCAAAGTGTGTGTGTGAATTGAGACTATTTGTTAGTTGATCTACTATGTAAAGACTAAAATGGAAATTTTTTCGACCTCTGTAGTTAAACCTCAATCAGGAGAACTGTCTCTGATGCTGGGATTTCTTATGGTGTCCAACATGTAGATAAACGCAGATTAGTCTTCAGTGGCCCTAAGTTCTTCCTAAGCACACTCTAGTTTTAGTGGCATACATACAGTAAGGTTGGGTAAAACTGAACTAAATTGAATGCAGCATTTCAGATACCGTAATTCATGACCTGGTTTTCAGGGAAGCTATACTGTATTTATTATATTGCTACCATATGATTTTGCTCTTCTAAAATACAGGATAAATTGTTTGCATGTTGTGGGCCTGTGTCTGCTAACTAAAAATTGCAGGATGTGTCAAGAAAAAAATTTTAATGGCATTTTTTGTGTTTTCTTTATAAAAATGACTCATTCAATGTTGTATGAGAACACATAAGAGGTACAGGTTGCCCCACATGGCCAAGCTTACTTGACTTTGCATTCTTACAGTTTGATGATGTAATTTTTCAGAATCACTGTTTTATTGTCTTGTAGACTGGTTTCTATAAATCTGTAATTCTGCTTTTCCCTGAGAGATTGCATGGTCTTTGAAATTTTAAATACATACTTGTGTAACATTTCTTAAATATGAAGCTTACCTTCCACAGTAAAGTAATAGAGACTATTTAAAAGAAGCCATTGGGGACTTTTAACTATTTAGAAGTCAACATGAGTTTCTTTACTTGCATTTGCTAAAGATATCAGAATTTGTTCTTTTTCACATGTAATAGTAACAGCAAGTTTAAAGTACAAATCTAGAGCCAGGGATATAGCTCCGTAGCACAATGCCGACTTGGCACTGATCCTGAGTTCCATTCCTGGTACAAAAAACACAAGTCTACTATATAAGTTATGATGTCGTCATTACCAAGATCTATGTAGGATTTTGATACACAATTGTAACTGTCAAAATTTTCCTTATATGCAAATTTTATTTTGATTTTTGAGACAAAGTCTCACTATGTAGCCCAGGCTGGCCTCAAACTCATAGTGATCCTCTTGCCTCAGCCTACTATGCAGAATTTAAACTGTACTTCTTTGAGCTCAGTAGTTTCTCCTGAAGCAGAATTTGGCATTGGATGATGTTCCATGTGCTGTGACTTAGTTTTGTTTGCTTTTGAATATTTTGCCAAGATTTATAAAAGGCTGAAGATACTACTCTATTCTTGAGCACTGACAAGATTAGACAAATGTTTTTACATAATTACTTTAAATTGTATTTTCCTTTTTAGGGACCATTCATTTGGATATTAAAAGTACAGTTTGACAGGATAAGTCCTGTACTGAAATTTTTTGAACATTATTACTCACCAGGCACTGAAATGTACCATAATAGAGTCTGCCTGGAAATGGAAAGGAATTTTAGAATTCAAAGCTCCTGTTTGTTGAGCATGGCTCATGTCCTTTATCTATACTTGTGTACTTGCCATGAACCTCTAAGCCTGTGTTCTATCCACAGAGCAGGCTTAGGCTGGTTGGGGAACATTAACACCCAAGATTAGCCAGCGGTGCAAAGCCACAAACTGTACCTATTTTTTTTTTTAAGTGTTTCAACTTCAGGGAGACTTTTAAAAATCAAGTTTATACTTAAACATTTACATTTTGATACTCTTCTCTAAGGCAAACCTGGCTACTCACTGGGTTTATTATGTATCTTGGAATTTCGAAACACTTGTTTCACTTTTGTCTGATTTGACATAAAATCAAATCACCACTACAGTTAATACAGCTCATTTTTATGCTGTTTTTCAGCGGCATCCCAGCATCGTGCTAAAGAGCATAGACTTTGAAGTCAAGTTCTTGGGTCTGAATCCTGGACTTGCCTCTTTCTAGTTATATGAACCAGTTGGTGTGCCTTAGTCTCCTGTCTACCTCAAAGGGGGATTGTGAAGGTTAAAGTGATATAGATAGATAGAGATAATGTAGTAAAAAAAAAAAAAAATCAGTTATTACTCTGCTCTAAAACTCTGCATTAAAATCTGATAACCAGTACAAGAATGCTGAGTATATTCTTGTGTTCTATTCTTTGTCCTTGAAATCATTTAACCAGAATTGTGCCAAGTCCACATATAAACAATGAAAATGATGGTATAATTATAAAATGCTTGGAGTACATTCATCAGAAGATTTACAAGCATTTTTAGAATACCTCTCTTGGGCCATAAAGTATACTATTAAAAATTAAGTTTTGCCACGTGTGGTGGTACACACCTATATTCCCAGTACTTGGGAGGCTGGGGCAAGAGGACTGCCAAGAGTTCAAGGCCAGCCAGAGCAAGACCCTACCGCCAAAAATATAAACAATTAAACTATGAAGTATTAGTGAATGTATACAAGTGTACATACTACTAACAATGTACTATGACTGATTCGTTACCCTAGTCTACTATCGAGTCCAGTGTTTCTTGGTCTACTTACTATGTGTCATGGTGATGGTGCATATCGTTTTAACTTGAAAATTGTGATTCGAACTTGTAAGATTCCACAGCTTATTTTAAGTGATGCTTTTGCTTTTTTCTTGTAAAATGTCAGCATACCAAAGTATTTACATATTTATAAAATTTTATTAAATCTTCACAATCATTTGTGAACTTTAAAGACTCACAAAACTGTACATGCTACCTTAGCCAAGAAAATTCTTAGGCATTTTCTTTAATTTTACCATTGTGTTCATACCATGGTTCCTAAGTGAAAACAGCTTTTGAAATGTGGTGCTGTTTTTCCCTAAAGCCATCAGTTATTGCAGTAGGTCCAAGTTTATTTGTACGACCCAGGACAGTGTGTCTGCATTAGATGTTCTCATACACTTGAGATGTATTCTGCTTGTTGGGTGTGTGTCCTGTAGCAGTCAGATCCAGTTAGGTTGTGTTCAGTTCCTCTCTATTCTTCAGTGACTTTCTGTATCTATGCTAGTTTCTTTTACTGAGAAAAGGGTGTTAAAACCTCTAAAATTGTGTATCAGTTTGTTTTTGCATTATTTTGAAGCTTTAAATGCATAGACATTTAGGATTATCTTCTCAATGAACTGAACTTTTATCATTAGGAAATGGTCTGATGTGAATATAGCCACTGCAGGTCTCTTCTAGTTTCTGCTTAAATATTGTATATTGTCCCCACCCTTTTACCTATAGGTAGTATTTGAGTTCAAATTCTTGTGGACAGCAAGTAGCTAATTTTTTTAACCCTGAGTATTACCCTTGGTGTATGTTTAGGCCATTTACATTTAGATATTTAGATTTAGTTCTGCTATACCATGTGCTATTTTTTTTCCATTTACCTCTATTGCCTACTTTTAGTTTTAGGGTTTTTTAGTCCTGAGTATTGAACTCATATCCTTTGCACTGAGCTGTATCCTTGTCCTTTTTGAGACAGGGTCTCATTAAGTTACCCAAGCAGGACTAAGACTTTCAACCCTCTTGGCCTCAGCTTGTCTCAGTGTTGGTTACAGGCATATTTGACTGTGCCTAGCCAATTTGAAAGCTTTTTATTTCACTGTAACTTAATTTCCTATAAAAGTTTTTTCATGGTAGCTCTAGGAAAGGGTGTTTTAATTCTTAAATATCCAAGAATGAGCTTTTTCAACTACTATATTCTCACCTGTTGCTAGCCTTTCATATAAATATTGTAAATGCTCTTGTTTAGGTAGCTCAGCTTCTGGAGTTGAGGGAATTTCGAAATCAGAGGAGCTTTGTGAATCTGTGTATGTGCTATAATTTGGCAACCTTTTTTCCTCAAGTATGTCCTGTTCTCTGCTTTTCACATGACTGGGAGTATCCTTTGGGGAAAGTATATTTTGTTCCATCTGAGAGGCAGGGACACTGTCCTTGACTTTTGGTCTGTGGACACTTTTGTTCAAAAAACCATTATCCCCATTTCTGTCTTGCGATGATAACAAAACAGTATCTGCCTGGCTGTCCCAGCCTTGACTTCCTTGTTCTGTGATATGTGTTGACTGAGAAGAATTCTGGGAGGAGATATGGGTTGATTCTCCATCAGAGTCACTAAAAAGCTTGGGTGACTGAGATCCCCTAGTCTCTGTGGAGGAAGGAAAGTTTTCCAAACCCTCATCTGTGACATTATCATTTCTTTTAAAGAATACTTCCCACTGGGGTACATCTGCATCAACCTTTTGCTGGGGAAGCACTACAGGGTCCAGATCCTGCACTGAAGCTGAGATTTCTGATTCTTCTTCACTTTCACTGTTAGATTCTTCACAGTCTATGAAGTTGGCTAAAAAAGAGTTATGCACACTTTCCACTTCACAACATCCTGTGCTTTTTCTCAGTTTTTCAGATGGGTTTTGTGGTACTGCAGTCAACAAGACAACCTCGGGATGGAGAGTTAGCTGATATGGCAGCTTGTGCCTTAAAGGTACTGGCAGCGGGTCGTCAAAAAGGTCATCTTCCTCCTCTGTGGGACAAACAAAACAAGATTATTGGAAATGAAGTCATTTTAATTTGTAGTGTTTATCTATACTTTTGATTCTTGGAATTGAAAAGAATTGGGAGAGGCCACCCTTTTTTTGTTTTGTTTTGGGCCACCCTGTTTTTGTTTTTTTTTTTTTAGATAGGGTCTTCAGGCCTTGAACTCACTAAGTAGCCTTAGACCTGTGGTGATTCTCATGCCTCAGCCTTCTCAGTGCTGTGATTACAGACATATGCCATGAAACCAGGCAAGGAAGCTACTCTTTAAAGAGAAATTAGAGCTGGGGAGATAGCTTGGTGGTCTTATTAATAAGCACCTTCCTGACAAGCATGAGGACCCAGCTTCAATCCCCAGTACCACATGAAATGCTGGGCTGAAAGAGCAAGTGGCACACACCTGTAATCCCAGCACTGGGGAGGCTGAGAAAGGAGGACCGCTACAAGTCCAAGCTGTGTAGTGAGACCCTGTACCAAGTAAATCAATGACTAAATAAATACATAAGTGATTTTTTTTTTAATTTTTAAAGAAATTAAAAGGCCTTTCATTCTTGAGATAGTCTGAACAATCTAATCTCCATTCTTCTGGCACTTTTAGAATGCCACACTTATTAGTTGAAAATATAGGTCAGTGAAAAACTTAATCCCAGAGTGATTCTAGAGAACCACATAATTTTCATTCTGCTCATCAACCAGGTTTCCAAACCGTGTTTTCTCTAAATAGCAGGTGCTGAGTAAGTTGGATGAATAAATTGAAAAAAGATGTTACTTTTATTTCCTAAGTTTTCTCTTTGTGGATATTTTATTGATACTTTGTACACAGGTTGTAACAGATCCTTGGAGAGGATAAATGAACTTTAACCAAAATATTGAATGTCACCTTGTCAAGCGCTAAGTCAACAAAATTGATTTTCCTCAGTTTCACAAATGCTGCATCAGCGTACAGTAAAGCCAGTCCACTTAAATTATGAAAAATGAGGAATCCTGACTTGGTGAGTAAAATTCTCATAAATGTAAAGTCATAGAATCGCGGTGAGAACAAACATTTTCCCCAATTTTAACAACACTTCACCTGGGAAGCAAATTTAAGGCCATGAATTTGATGTAAACTCCTTGTCTACTGCTGAGTGTTAAACTGCAGTGACCTGCTTCCCAGTGATAAAGGATGAAGCTAAGCACTGTACTATAATGGGCCCCAGCCCTGTTGTCCAGCTCCCAGGAGAGACAGGCTCAGAGAAAAGACATGCCTGCACATAGGTCAGACCTCAATCTTAAAGGCCACCATTCGGTTAGGGTTTATAATTGATCTTACCATTCATTCCTAAAGGATTTAAGGTGACTAATATGTTCAGCTACTGCATTTGGAATCATTGTAGTGTCCAAGACAGGGATTTTATTTTAAACCATGGGTTCTGATGGTTAGCTCTGCTACTGGTACACCAAAGTCACCATTTTAGAAAATGGTTTTGTACTGTCTCTTAAGTTAGAAAATTCTGCTTCTAGAGCTATGACTAGCAGTGTCATGTTTCAAGTATACTCCTTCAGAACATTTTTAAAACAAGGTTTCTATACCTGGAAGTTGACTGTCATTATGCTGATAATAAAAGCACCAAGACCCAGTAAGGAAAGGAGAAAATAATAAGTAACTCATTTTCCACCATTGTACATTGTTTTACATCTAAAAATTGGTGAAATCATACAAAAAAGCAGTTTGTCAATATGTCGTTTCACTTCCACAGTTTAACCCAACAGTGGGATGCAGATCAGATTTATAAAAGTTGCTCATCCCATTATTCATAAAACAAGTACAAAAATTACCTGAATGTATGATAAAGAATAAATGTTAATTCAGAGGATGGATGGTCATGGGAGGTATGCAACTATTAATAAGTAACACAAAAATGTTCTAATAAAATGAAGTGACAACGCCTCTATGCACATATATAATACACAGATATATAAAAAGTGGTACAAGTTGCTCCTCAGGCTATGCACCTATACAGTTTTACAGATACCACCCTATGGAAATACTTTCATCCTTAGCTTGAGACCCTCAAGTGCCCTTCCTGTGCAGCGTCTCCAGTCCATCATCCAGAGTCCCATGCAGCTGAGCATCAGGGCATCACTCCAACACTGGTTTTCACTGATTGAAGCCTATACAATCTGTTTTTAAATGTTCTCAACATCATTCCTGAATTTTGTGAATATGTGTAAATAAACATAAGGAAATACATTAAAATGCTAATGAAAATAATTTAAATTTGTGTCATTCTATGTAGCATTTTTGTTTTCCAAATTGTATGTACTGATGTTCTAATAGTCATAGAAGAGTTCTGTGATACTAAGTAGAATACTGATAAGTTATATAGAGGAAAAACAAAACACAGCATTTTTCTAATGTGATGCAGGGTTTTGCTACGCAGTTCAGACTTGCAGTGATCCTGTCTCAGCCTACCCAGTGCTGGAATTACAGGTGTGCACCACCACACCTGGTTCTAGAGCCAGCACAACATGTGGTACTGGGAATCAAACTCCGGTCCTTGCTCTTGCCAGGTAGGCACTTATTCTAGACCACCAAGCTATCCCTCCAGCCTTGAATGCAGCTTTAGAAAAAGAGGCTAAGAATGACTTCTGAGCTCACTCTTGGATTCTGAGATCAGAACACAATCTGACTTGACAGGTATGTTGACACTGGCTTGACTCAACAGCAATAAAGTACCTGAAATACTTATCAGTAAACTTGTAGAGATAAACACAGAGGTGTTGAAACATACTCAGAACAATATTTACAAGGCCTGTTAGATACATGGACTGTTCAATATGATGACGTTGCTTATAAAATTCAACTAAAAACATCTAGGTAACATTAAAAGTGTTTAAAGAAAACAAAGCAGGAGGGTCAGGAACAAATGAACACTGAGCCAAAAATTCTTACCAATCTTATTTTTCTGATCAAAAAAGATATTCCTCATCAAAAACAAGTGTGGGAAAAAAAAAGTGTGGATGAGGTAGATGCATGGGAGGTACATTTCTTTGTTCCTTTCTTTCTCCAGGAAAAAAGGACTTCTAGTGTGCCTGCTAATCTGCATGTGGGGCCTTGAGGTAGTGAGCATAGGTGGATCATGTAAGAACTCCAGCTCTGCTACAAGCACAAGAGAGAAGGAAGCCAACGTAAGACACAATGAAAGTGACTTTTCATACCCTTCATCTTGGACTACTAGCCTCCACAACTATTAGAAATGGATCTGCCATTTAAGGTTCCCAAATTGGTGTTTTGTTACAGTAATCAAGCAGAGTAAGAGACTACATGATCCAGAAATTCCATCCCAGTGTATTCAAGAGACAAAGACTAGTACTTGAACTTCCCTTAGCATAATAATAACTAAAAAATGAAATCATCCTAAAATACTCATCAGTGAATAGATAAAATGTAGCATACCACAATGGGAAATTGGTTGGCAATTAAAAGGAATGCTGTTTTTTTGGGGGGGCGGGGGGGATTGTATTTTAGTACAGGGCCTCACTACAGATTGGACTTGTAGTGAGCCATCCTGTTTTTCAGCCTCCCAAGCACTGGGATTACAGGCACACGCCACCATGCCCAGTTGCAATTGCATCTCACTGCACCTGGGGGTTTGGGGGTGGGGGGAGGCAGCAAGACAGGCTGGGGATTGAACTCCTGGCCCCTGCATCTGCCTGAGGAGGTGCTTTAATCTGCTAAGCTATCTGGCCTGCCCTTAGGAATGTTGTATTAATACATATGGTGCACCTTGAAAACATGAAAGCCAAGCACTAACTCCACATGTTGTATAATTCCATTTATAGAAAATGTCCAGAACAAGCAAATCTATAGACACCAAAGGTTGTAATAGTTCAAAGCAAAAAAGAGAAATAGAGTTTATAATACAATGTACAACACAGTACAAAGACTGGAAGAGAAAGAATGAATATACAGTGTTGCCATACTTGGAAGTAGTGTAATATTTATCTTTCTACTCTATAAAGGTGTATAATCCCAGCATTCTGGGAGGTTGAGGCAGGAGAATCACAAAGAGTACTTAACTAGGCAAATGCTGAGGACAGGTACAGAAAGGAGAAAAGGCTATCCACTGCTAGATGATCCCATCTTCATTTAAAAAAAAAGAAGTAAAGCAGTGAGATTCCTCTTCCATTTCTCAGACGGCAGACCTTTTTAGTTAAAGTTTGAGCACAGCCTTGGCAACTTAATAACTTAGTTGAGGTCCTGTCTCAAAAAGAACTGGACACCAAAGCTCTGTAGAAGCCCTGGATTCAATCTCCATATACAAACAAAAAAAGATACCACACACACAAAGTTACAGCCAATATGCTAACCAAATTAATGAGAACCAGTGCTTACTAGGTCCGAAAAGCAGAAAGTGAAAGGATAAACATGGAATAGCAAGATACAATTAAATCTAACCCCATCAATTATATTAAACCTAATTGATCCAAGAGTTGGCAAAAAACACTTTTCAGATTGACTAAAAAAAATCAAGACTCAATGATCTGCTGACTTCAAAAAACGCACTAAAGTTATAAATACAGATATGTAAAAGATGTGTCATGGTAATAATAGTAATCAGAAACAATTAGAATGGCCATAGTATCTGACAGAACATTTCACAACAAAGATTATTACCAGGAAGAAGGTCATTTTCTAAAGATAAAGGGGTCATCCCTTTAAGAGGATATGTCAGCACAAACTCTTCAGGAAGAACGAATCAGTAAGAATGTTGCAGCCCTGAACAACATCAAGTACAACATTTTGCTCAACATCAGCAATGCACATATTTCTTTAAATATTAATGAAACATTTACCCAGATAGTCCATATTTTTTATATCTAAAAGTCCACACAAAGCATATTCTTTGATCACAGGAAAGTTAATTTGGGTAACAAGAGAATTATGGGAAACTCCCCCAAATTCAGAAACTAAATAAACTTCTAAATAACCCCAGTGTCAAAGGGAAAAAAAAAAAAAAATCCAAAATAAAATGATCAATCTGTGGGAAGCTGCTTAAGTAGGAAGCTTGCAGCACTAAGAGACCACATTAGAAAAGGAAGGTCACTGCCTCAGTATCCACCTCATAGCATAGTAACCAGCGCTCTCCCAAAGGAATGAAAATCCACAATCCTGCCCTCTTAATTCTGGCTGCTATAAGCCAGCACAACGTTGCTCAGAAAGTTGTGAATCCTACTTCACATTATATCTCTTCACTGAAAAAAGTAAAAAAGGTAGAAAATTACAAAGAAAATTCATTTATGTAACACCATTTATGGGTAATATAAGGACAGTCTCCATTTTTAGCATTTGTATTCTGAAGGAAACATTCAGCCTATTCTCAGCAAGCTGAGCGCTTCACCCTTTGTTTCACACCTGTGGGAGAGCAGACTCCTGACTACATGCAGAACTCGAGAGAAAATCATGACCCAGTCTGGTGCACAGCAGGGCCATGTCTGCCAAAGGTCACTGCGGTCACCAGACTACACCAAAACAGCCTGAAAAGCAGCCACTGCACCCAAGACCATGCTTACCTGAATCTAGATGGACTCTTCTAAATCTCTTCAGTTTTCCAAGTGGTTTATACTTCGGCTCAGTATTTTGAGAAGACCTGCATAAAGGCTTTAAGCTGAAATGAATCAGAAATTTGAGTTTTTCTTTTTGGAAAAATTGCTAGAAGGTTAGCATATATGTGGACTACAAAAGTCTGACCTGAACATCATCCAACTATTTTGAAGAACAGAAAGCAGTGTTTAATAATTTAAATCACTTCAATATAATAAGTAGTGAATATAAGCCCTTAAATACAACACAGTAGATACCTATCTGTTAGGATTGAGGGCAACATAGTAAAGAAATATTTTGTTCATTCAATATAGAAAAGTAGGTCGCTAAGACATTAACACAATGCCACCATTCGGCATTCAAAAAATACATATAGCTAACTGCTTCCCCTTCCCTGTTTAGTGAGATGAATTTCTATCCTCCAGGGTTCTAGAAAATCACAAATTTGATCTCTATCCTAGAGCCACAAGCCAAAAGCCAAGACATAGAAACAAGATTTGAAGGCTATTATCACCAGCTACTTCTGCCAGCAGACTGCAGGACTATGTATGTTACTCAAACACAAAGCTTCCAACCAAAACTGATTTACAGCCACCCCAACATTACAGCTTCACCCATGGTGTCCTGTCAAGTATTCTTGGGTCCATGCATTCTGTCGCTACTTCTCTCTGCAATCACTAACTATTCTCCTTGGGCAACTTCTTCAAAGTGAGGTTATTCTTCATCTAACCACCTGTATAACAGGTTGCCTGGTACAAATGCAAGAATGGAAAGTATGCATTTGAACAAACACCTCAAGT